GCCTTTTCAAGTTAAACAACCCACTTTTAAAATACTGTCTAAAATATCCTTATTAATTATATGTATTAGCTGAAACTATTATTTGATAAAACATTTAATATGTAAAACTAGTATAAGAACTATTTGAAAAAAATAAATAAATATAAAAGATAAAATAAAATAAATTTTTATATTTAAGATTGAATTAAATGTCAAATTAGTTGTTATTACAAGATATGGTATTAATAATACAATTAAGACATCCTATTATTATGCCCAAGTTAGGGTAAAACAGTAATTTTAAAAAATTTCCGTCCGTTAGGGTAATTTAAAACAACAACAATAATAATAATAATATACCTGTATTGCAGTTGAGCGCTCCAACGTCCGTCCTAGCTCTGCCACCAGATGTGAACTTGCCTGTGCGTAGTCCAGGGCACCCATGGTTTACGAGAGCGAAGACGGGAGCCGTTGCAGAGCCAGCCGATGGCCACGCTATCCACTACCCTGAATTTTGAGAGAGAGAGATTTATATGTAATTTTAAAATATTAAAAAAATTAATTAATTTAGTTATTAGTAATAAATCTGTGTTGACTTTTTTAAATAATTTTTATTAATGTATATTAGAATAGAATTACCTTTAGGTAGGATTCTGCTATAATCAATAGGGGTATATTAAGATAATTAAAGTCTTATATTTAAAATTAAATCTAACTCTCAATTAACTCTTATATTTGGGGTATATTTGAGTAAAAACTAAACGATAATTTTAAAAATACTTTTACCATATATAAGATAAGTATGTAAGAAGAGTTTGATCTCAACTCATGTGAAAATACGTCCGACTCTTCTTATTCACACAGGGACTCTACTGTGCAAGTTTCGTCTGCAGCTGAACATATTTGTGTTCTTTTTTTTTTTGTTAAAGCATATGTATTTATTCTATTAGGGCAATCCAATTCAAAAATGCTGTTGGAGATTAAATATGAACACTTCTTCTAACAAGGATTTGAATTTTGATTTGTCACATTATGAGGAATTAACCTCTTCTGTTAGATCTAATTCCTGTTAGTGACATGCTTGTATTCTGTTGTTACTTAAACTCATATATGTCTTCCATATGGATTATCGTCTAGATGATTGGGCTGGGCCTAACATTATTAACACCTTAAACAGACTTTTTACTGAAAGGAAAGTTGCTTGGCGTTATTTTAGAAGTTTGCAAAAGTACATTTTCCAAAGCAACAATCCGCTCCCAAATGTTATTTTGAAGAAGGCTACAAGGACTTGCTTTTCTGTAATTTCAACTCATGACATTTGATATCTATAGTTTCATGGTTTCTTAAATACTTAGTTTGAGTTAATTTTATGAAGTGTTTGAACCAAAACCAAAACTCGTAGAGTATTCTTCCGGTCCTAAATAAGTTTTGATTTTAGTTTATATATTTAATGGTGTTAACAGCATTAACTAAAAGTTAACATTGTTAAATATCGATCAAGTCTTAAGAAACAATAGGACAATAATTATGATTTAAAACTAAAAGAAATAAAATCAAAATTCAACCAAATGGTAAGAACCAATAATTATATTAATTCATGAACTAATCTCCTTTAATATGAGGTTGACGGAATAATTAATGATAGTTTTTCATTTTTATTCCTTATTACAAGGAGGAGATCGATGATGGTTTTAAATATAGGAAGGAAAAAAAGGGAATTTTCTAATCACATTTTTTTAATAAGAGTAAATAGGTAACTTTCATTAATTTCAAACATATTTAATAATTTAACTAATGAGAAAGCTTATATTGTTGGTGGTAAATAGTATGTGATAGGCATAAAGGAAAGAAGGTAGCAAACAAACAAAATTAGGAGGCAACAAATCACAATAACTTTGCAATATTATATTCAAACCTTTGTCCCCCAATAAGATATATATTCAATTCAGATCAATGATATTAAAGTTTCAAAATACTGTTTGTAAAGAGAATTTGTCATCAAAACAATCATTGTACAAGAAACTCCTTTAAATATAATCATTTTTGTGTCCTTAATTAAAATATGAAGCAATGAGTCCAAAACTTGCAATACATATGTATATCTTTTCTTTTCTTTTCGCTAGAGCAATATTTATATATCACCTTTGGTCTTTAGTATAAGAACTAATTGGGGGATTGAATTTTATTTTAAATATAACACTCCAATCTTGTCTCTCATTTTTTTTTCAAAATACCCTTATTAATTATAAGAGATTCCTACAAAAATGTAGTTCCAATTCACATGATTTAAGATGATAATTTAGGAAGGTCAACTTATATTTGTAATAACTAAGTAGCTTAATTAATTTTTTTTAGTATCTTCAAGTTTGTTCCGTAGCTTTTATATTAAGTATTAAAGGTAGTATCAACCAACAATACATACGTCAACTCTGCATTGTAGTCAAAGTACTAATTTTTAAAGCTTTAAAGAATATGCCAACAAAGCAATTACATAACAAGATAAAAAGTGCCTCATCAGAGAGGTTGCTAGAGATAAGAGAATCAAAATATGGAGGGACTCAGATTTGTGAAAGAAATAACAAGAAAAGGTAATGATGATGATGATTCTTATTACTCCTCTAATCCTTAATATATGATCTAATTATTGAGTTGATTTTGATCCTAAATATAAGACTATTTCTCATATTTATCAATTCTTTCTAAATTACACTTATGGATACTCCCTCAACCATAATCAAGTAGAAAAGGGAAAAAAGATATTAAGGAAGATGATTATGGTGTTTTCGGAAACATGTTATATTTATTATAATTAACTAACTTACACAACTTCCGTAATCTAATCAAATCAGTTAAATAGGTCTTATATTAAGGACTGGAGGAGTATTGCAGATTCAAGGATGATCAGCAACTCAGAACAGAAAAACTGTCAAATATCAACAATGGAATGCGCACCATTATGACCATATTATGGCTATGGACGATCACTTCAATATGGTTTCTCACTTTGCCAGAATGCTTTATGACCACCGCTTTCTGGCAGGACAAATAGGCTTTTTTTGCCACTAAATTATTTTGCAAGCAATACTGTTCATCCTGAATTATTTATTAAAGCATCTTTTTACCCAAAAAGATGTCAAAATCGTTATCACCCTTAAATTAACAGACAATAATATATGTAACATTGACCTTATTAACTCCAAAGATTAATCATGTTGTATTAACTCACTATTAAATTTTTTAGGGTCAATTGCTTCACGTCATTGAATTTTAGAATGTTAGTTTTGCTCATCTAGATTATACATGGAAGTAAGACACATTATTTTTAATGTTCAACGTTAAAACTTAATAGGCCAGTATCAAATAATTTTATCATGAATGTCAAATTCTAGAGATCACTTGTCATTTCCAGTTGTAGGAGTTTGATTGAATTCTAGTGTTCAAAATCTAAATATATAAAATTTTGTATTTTCATTTTGCATCTAGTCACTTAACAACATTTAATTATGTACCAAAATTTAAAATTTATAGGAAATATAATTAGGTCCCCGTAACTATGTTCATTTTATCATGTCCTTATAGCTTTAACTAATTTTAATGAAACCTTTGTAATTTTTCATTAGGTCTTTGTGATTTTATCTAATTTTAAATCAAGTTCCTCTGTAAGGGGTACCTCATTTAATATTGAGAATTAAATTAAAATTGTAAATCAAATCACCGAGGGAACATATAGAAGTTACAGCGTGAACTAGAGACTTTTTTTTTTTTTTTGAAACCTTGAACTGGAAAGGAAATATGTGCGTTTGTCCATGTTTTGATCTGAATTCTGAAATCATACTCTGTTAAAATATATTTTTAGTGTTTATTTAAGTACATCAGGCCTTTTTCTTGGTATTTTTTAAAAAATAAAAGCCGGTTTTAGAGGTATTTTTATATTAAAAAATTATGTAATTATTTTACAATTAAATTAGAAGGTTTTTTTTTTTTTATAACATCACCTACTCTGTATTTTTTTTTTGGGTAGTCACCTACTCTGTATTTTGGTCACAAACTCTCATTGTTGATATTTTTAATTTATTTTTAACCTTTAAATTTAATTTAATGACTAAGTTAAAAACTTAAGCCTACTCAATCCAACCCAAACACCTTGTGTTTTTTTTTTTTTGTAGAGATCAAGACAAGCACACACTAGGTGGGGAAAAAAAACACAAATACGACAACACATAAAACAAAACTATCTAAATTTTTCTTTTTGAAATTTTTTTTTGGGAAAATTGCAAATAAAGAAATTGCTGCAGAGGACCCGGTCCCAATTTGCAATTATGAAATGTGTGTTAAATGGCTGAAATACCCCTCACTCATCGTTACTGTTAATGAAGGCGAAGACCAGGATTTTAATGGGTGGCGGGAGAGCTGCTAGAGTAGGATGAGCTGAACGAGTTTGTGTGATATTGGGATCTTCCAACATTGACAATGATGCGAGTAACTTACTGACTAAACCCTTCTTGTATTGTTCCCTGTAAGAGTTACACATTTTGATATTCTTCATCTTCATCTCTGCTGTGTGGGTGAGTAGGCTGGAGGTAGGGAGGGAATGAGAGGCGTAGTTGAAGATGAAAGATATCACAATGTAGAAGGTTGTGGTTAGTTGGAGGTGGGATATTTTTGTTTTTGTAGTGTGAATGGTCATCTCTCATTTGTAGTGCATGGTACTGGTTGCGATGGGGAAGGGGTAGGAGTGTAGTAGTTTGGCAGAGTGTAGGTGGGATAATGGCCGTTAGTTTGATCGTGAAGGTTGAGGTGTTGCCGTGGAAGGAGGGAATGACGATGCATGATTTTCGGTGTTAAAGTCGTCAAGCCCTAAAGTGAAGTTGAAGCCTTAAAGTGATGTTGGAAGACAGGAGGTCGCGGGTGTTTTAATTTGGCATGTAAATGATGAGTTGATAGAATAAATGTGTAAATATTTATTAGTGAAGCTAACGTACTGACTAAACGTAAACTTTTGCTGCAGATTAGTATGAAAAATGGATTTCAATAACCGAAGAAGCTGTGGGAAGAAGTTGTTCTGTTACGTGCACATTGGTGGACATTTTGAAGCAAATGGTGGAGGGATAGTTAAATATATTGGAGGGAGTGTAAGGGTAACTAGTATAAAAGAATGGATAATAGTAGACGAGTTGTGTGGAATAATTTCACAGTGGATAGGTAATGATGGTGGTGGATATGAGATTAAGTATAAAGTTAAATTTGATGAGAGTACATTGATTGATCTTTGTGATGATGGTGATATCTGCAACTTGTTTAGATATAATGACAGCAGTGGTCATGTGTATGTAGGAGGGAAAGGGAATGATAGGGAACCTAGAGCAAGGAATGATCCAGACGTGTAAGTGGTTATGTTTTCTAATTGAATCTTGTTATTTACTAATATATTGTTGGTAATTCGTATAGAAATATTGTAACCAAGCTAATGGTGCTGCAGTCCTAAATTGTAACTAGTAAATGCAAGCATGTCATTGAACATAGTGGACATGTCATTTCCATTTGTAAACTTGTGTTTTAGAAATGCAGACTTGTTATTAGACATAAGTAGAGGTTTTCATATGTAGACTTGTAATTCAACGTATTGAAGTTGTAATTATCATATACGGACTTATTATTTAGATCTACAGATGTTATTTTACTAACCAGTAGTTTCTATATGGAAACTTGTTATGTGAGTAACTCAAGTTGTAATTACCATATACTTGTTATTTTTGTTATTTTAGCAACGAATAGTTTGTAGATGTAGACTTGTTATTTTAGTTACTAAAATAGTTTGCAGCGAGATATGTCAGGAATAGTAAGGAGAAGATGAATGTGAGGTGTAAAGTAGAAGAGTGTCCTTAGAAGATATGTGCAAATGCTGTTGGAAAGAATAGTCATCTATTACATGTGATTACATTTTGCAATTAGCACATTCATTCAACCCAAGACAATTTGATTGTGACTTATGGTGGGAGTGCTGCGTTGACATCATCAGTAATAGTTGAAGAGATAAGGGACCATGCTGAAAAACAGCCCACTGAGATAAGGAAGATGTTGGAGAGGGAGTATGGTGTGAGGCTTACATATTATCAGGCAATAGAGCAAAGGAAAAGGCAATGGAAGAAATACATGGGAAACCGGAACAATCCTATATGTTAATACCATGGTTATGTGAAAGGTTGAAGGAAACTGATGACAAAACGGTTGTTGAATGGGCCTCCATTGGTAATAGATTTGAGTGTGTGTTCATTGCATACGGTGCATGTGTTGAGGGTTTTTTAAACAGTGCAAGGCCTATATTATATGTTGATGGTACTCATTTAAGTGGTCCATATAAGGGGACGTTACTGTTAGCTTCGGCATATGATGCGGATAATGAGATGTTGCCGTTTGCAATAGCAGTGGTGAAGGGAGAGAATCTTGATAACTGGACGTGGTTTTTCCACAAGATTAAACAAATAGTTGGTTCAATGCAACTGATTGTGTCAGATAGACATAATTCCATAATTGGTGTTGTGCAAGCAATATTTGGGGGTGAAAGGTATGCATACTGTTATAGGCATGTGAAGGAGAACTTTAGCTCTGAATATATGAAATTAAACAAAGGTCGGAGAAGGATAAGTGAAAATTCAAAGGAAGATGCATTGAAGGTACTAGATAAAGTGGCTTATGCAAGACTTGCGGATGAGTTTGATCATGCACTGGATGATCTCAGAACCATGTCTCATGAGTTATATGAGTGGGTTATGAATCAAGGTGATGTGGATAGGTGGACATTGAGCAAGTTCCCATATAGAAGGTGGGACAACATAACAACTAATTTAGCTGAATCTTGTAATGCTTGGATGGTAAGGGAGAGGAAGCATAACGCGGCCTAAATAATCTATGAGCACCGGGAGAAAGTAACAAGAAAGATGCATGCATCATATGCAGCAATGACTAAGTAGAGTAATTGTGTTGGGCCGAAAATAGAGGCAAAAGTATTGGAACATGTGCATTTCAGTAGGTACATGCACTGTGAGAATTATGGAGGGGGAAGAATATGTGTGCACACATCACGTGGAGACCAAAGAGTGGACCTTGGCCTACACCAATATAGTTGTGGAACTTGGCAAATGTTAGGGATTCCATGCTCACATGCTTGTGCAGCCATTAAGACCATAGGGAGAAACATTTATGATTATGTTGAAGAGTGTTACAAACGTTCATCCCAAGAAAAAATCTATGCCCGGAGCATGGTTCTAGTGGTGACAATTGATATGCCTCACCTGAATAACTATAGGTTTGAGAATCTTACTGCCCAACCCTTGCTTTTACCCCCAATCACTGCTAGGCCTTCTGGAAGACCAAGAAGAAACAGAAAGGAATCACAATTCCACAACAAAAAAATATATCATTGCACTAGATGTCTTCATCCTGGACATGCAAAAATCCTAACCCAAGTTGACTTCCACTTACAAATGGGACAACTAATTTTTTTTGGCACATATAGGGTTCATCCTTCTTAATTTTTTTGGGAGCAGGGTGTTTGTAGATGTGTACATATATTTTTTGTTACTTCTATGTTTGGGACAAAGGGACATTAAGTGGAAGATGCAAGTTAATGTGCACTTGTCATTGAATGTTGTAAAGAACTTGTTGTTGTGAAAGAAATCAAAACTTGTTACTTCTTGTTATTTTGCATAATTAAGTTGTCATTTGCTTTTGTGCACTTGTAATTTCATGTTCATCCGAAGTGGTTACTGTCAGAAAATGAAATATGTCAAAACCTTATAGGAACTTGTCATGTGCCATAGTAAAGTTGTCATTTGGCAATGTCAAGTTGTCATTCCGTGTTTATCAATAGTGATTGCTGTCAGAAATGTGCAATGTGTAATTTCGTGTTTATCAGAAGTGGTTGCTGTCAGAAAATAAAATGTGTCAAAACCTTCTAGGAACTTGTCATGTGCCATAGTAAAGTTGTCATTTGGCAATATCAAGTTGTCATTCCATGTTTATCATTAGTGGTTGCTGTGAGAAACGTGCAATGTGTAATTCCGTGTTTATTAGAAGTGGTTGCTGTCAGAAAACGAAATGTGTCAAAACCTTATAGGAACTTGTCATGTGCCATAGTAAAGTTGTCATTTGACAATGTCAAGTTGTCATTCCACGTTGATCAGAAGTGGTTGCTCTTGGAAATGTGCAATGTAATCACTGCCTTCAAAAGTATGAAAATGTATTAAAACCTTCTGGAAAATTGTCGTTTTCCATAGTAAACTTGTCATTTCTCTTTCTGAAGTTGTAACTTTGTGTTTACCAGTAGTGGAAATCCAGTCGTTTCATGAAAACATTATTCGAACTTGTAATTTTCGATAGTGAACTTGTCACTTTCGTTTGTGAACTTGTCATTCTGTGATTATCGTAAGTGGGAATCCACTAATTTCAACAGAGAATCTCGGTTTCATGAAAACCTTATCGGAACTTGTAAATTTCTCTAGTCAAATTGTCAATTTCCTTAGTGAACCTGTCATTCCGTGATTATCGTAAGTGGGAATCCACTAATTTCAATAGAGAATCTCGGTTTCATGAAAACCTTATTGGAACTTGTAAATTTCTCAAGTCAACTTATCAATTTCCTTAATGAACTTGTCATTCCGTGATTATCATAAGTGGGAATCCACTCATCTCAACAGACAATCTCGGTTTCATGAAAACCTTATTGGAACTTGTAAATTTCTCAAGTCAACTTGTCAATTTCCTTAGTGAACTTGTCATTCCGTGATTATCATAAGTGGGAATCCACTCATCTCAACAGACAATCTCGGTTTCATGAAAACCTTATTGGAATTTGTAAATTTCTCAAGTCAACTTGTCAATTTTCTTAGTGAACTTGTCATTCCGTGATTATCATAAGTGGGAATCCACTCATCTCAACAGACAATTTCGATTTCATGAAAACCTTATTAGAACTTGTAAGTTTCGCTAGTCAACTTGTCAATTTCCTTAGTAAACTTGTCATTCCGTGATTATCATAAGCGGGAATCCACTTATCTCAACAGAGAATCTCGGTTTCATGAAAACCTTATCGGAACTTGTAAATTTCTCTAGTCAAATTGTCAATTTCCTTAGTGAACCTGTCATTCCGTGATTATCATAAGTAGAATTCCACTAATTGGAACAGAAATTTTCCCTTGCATAAAAACATCTTGGGAACTAGTCATTTGGCATTATCAGCTTGTCATTTTCCTTTGTCAACCTGTCATTCCATGAATCAATGTGCGAATTTAGCCACCTTTAATACAAAATCTCAAATTTGTATGAAAACATTTTCACAAGTTGTCATTGGCCATAATGAACTTGTCGTTGCCTATACTAAACTTGTCATTGGCCTGACTAAAGGGAAATTTGTCATTCCAAATATAAGTGTTGTTATACCATCAATCCAACCATATCATAACCATTACAATAATTGGCATACAATTTCAACAAATGAATCCATTGACAAAATTAGTAAAAGTCACACAGCCTAATTTAAATGCTCTCTACAAAGACTTTCTCCTCTTCTTGGTCATTTGGTCCTTCTCTAGTTGTGAGATAAGATCGTACACATTTTGACAGCATTCATTGTCATTATGGTTCACCAACCACCATATCAGCTTGCGCCGAAAAGAGGACACATCAGCCTGCACAGCAAGTTTACCACCAAACAAGTCACACGTGGTCACTCTTGATTGCACAATAAATAAGGTAATGTCAATACCTCGGTATATTCAAGGGGAACATCAGGCTCCCATTTCCTGAGCCATATGAGCACATGCACACCACAGTCCCTCCTGCCCATAACACCACCCTAACAATTTCAGCTCCTCAAACCAACACAGCCAAATAACATATCACATGAGTAAGGTGTAGACACTCACAAATTATTCTGCTGTGGTACATCAGGCCGGACAATTTCCAAGTTATGACTCAAATCTGGTCTGACCATCTAAAATATGTCTTCAAACCGATCCATCTGCATATATGCCATATTCATCAAAAGGATAATAATATAAAACTGTCATTTCCCTATCTAACATGCACAGGTCAGTAACATCTTACACATTCGGTGATGGCCAATTCTTGGGGGTCATATGTGGCTGCCTTCTTCTGCTTGGAGGTGGTCTTCTTACGCTATAAACTTGCTCACATAGAATCAAGGACATTGAACTTCCGGATCTTTGGCTCGAGTGCAAAATAGAACCAATGCTCCCCAACTAGAGCAGGACCCAGAATCAAGTCGCAGTTACCTATGTTGTAGCCAACATAATACGGAAGTATTTGTCATGCATGCTGGTTAGGATCCCAACGAGCTGAATCACAGATCATTATGGCCTATGAAATGCAGAAAACCAAGTTGTTATTCACTGTAACACACTTTATTCTGTCATTTTCATTTGCAATCTTGTAAATCAACAAAGCATATTAGTAATACAGAAACCTCACTATGAAGTCTGCATCAAATATATACCTCCTAACTCGGCCTTCAATTGCCTACTGCTCTTGCACCAAAGCCTTACAGACCAAGGACATCACTCGGTTATTCACCCTGTTATTTCCACCAAGCGTATGCAACCATCATCGGGGGATGTCTTCATCGAACATTCTGATCAAAGGATTGAAACATATTCAAGTGAGTTACCACATGTGTTATGTTAACATGTAGTCAACAAATAACATCGCATAAGTAAAGATTTTCATTTACATCTTGCCCTCATCACCTTTGACAGCTCGGCTGACTAAGTTGAAAAAAATATCCTTTGGCTCCATAGGCCTCTTCACTCTTGATTGTGCCTTCAACTCCAACTAAGGAGACTTGATCTTGCTGAACCGAACCCTAGTAGATCTCCTTAGTTGTTGTGCCTCTACAGATATAGGTTCTGGATCAAGCCCAACATATTCAACAATGACCAGGGGGGATACCTCCATCGGTGAGTGACCCTCTGCCTCATCACCTTCAACGCTGGGTGACACTTCTCCAAGGGGACTGGCTGCAGGTATGTCACCCTCTGCATCATCACCTATAATATTGCCTGCCACTTCCATAGGGGAACTAGTTGTGGGTATTGCACTCTCCATCACAAGTGGTTGCTTGTCATCACCCTCCCCATCACCCTTGTGTTTCCTGCCCCCTTCGCTCCTGTCATCACCATCCCCTTAACCCTTTTCCTCCTTCTCTTTATTGTCGCTGTCATTCTCTGTGTCACCCTTCCCATGACTGTCTCCATCTTCACTGCTTACTTCATCCTTCTCCTTTTCCTCAGTTGTGTCATCATTGTTGCGCCTCTCCTCCTCATCATCTTCAGAGTCACTTATATTTGTAGGCACTGTCTCAACCTGAGCCTTTCCTCTTGATTTACCCTTCCCACCATCTCCCTGTCTTGGGATCTACACCTTCACCAGCTCCTCATCCACCATTTTCATCAGCATCTTTTGCCCTTCCTCTATCCTCTTCATTAGGCACTCGCGTAACTTCTTCAGCTCCTGCATGTAAAAGACATTAATCAATTAAGTATATACAACAACAAGTTCACTATGGGAAATGACACCTTCACTATGACATATTGACAAGTTCAGTAAACCAAATTACAATTGAGGTATGGCAGATGACAAGTTCATTATACAAAATTACAAGTTCAGTAAACAAAATCACATCTTAGGTATAGCAGATCACAAGTTTATTATACCGAATGACAAGTTCAGTAAACCATATCCCAACTCACGTATGGCAGATGACAAGTTCATTATATTGAATGACAAGTTCAGTAAACCAAATCACAACTCACGTATGGTAGATGACAAGTTCATTATACCGAATGACAAGTTTAGTAAACCAAATCACAACTCATGTATGACAGAT